CCAGCACGACCCTGGGGGGCCAAGTCCTGTGTTCTAAAACTCCCTCCAGCTCTGATGTTTTCTATTCAAAGATGCCTATCAGCTCAGACATTCTATGTCCTGGTTCCTTCCTGCTCTGATCTCCAGGTTCTAACATCTCTTTTGGCACTAATGTTCTACATTCTGTGTCCAGCTCTCACATTCTGGGTTCTAAGGTCCCTTTCAGCACCAATGTTCTCCATTCAATGTTCTAAGGTCCCTTCCAGCTCTGACATCCAGGTTCTAAGATTTCTTTAAGCACTAATATTCTCCATTCAATGTTCTAAGGTCCTTTCCAGCTCTAACATTCTGGGTTCTAAGATCTCTTTCAGAACTAATGTTCTACATTCTATGTTCTAAGGACCTATCTATCGCTGACATTTTATGTTTTAAGGTTCCTGTCAGCCTTCATCACTCTAAAGTCTCTTCCAGCACTAATATTTTACACTCTGTGTTCTAAGAGCTCTTCAAGCTCTGACATTCTGTGTTATATCGTTTTATGTTCTAAAGACATTCTGTGTTCTAAGGCCCCTCCCAGCTATGACCTATATTCTAAGTTCACTCTATGGTTCTGATCTCTGTGGTCCTGTGTGCAAACATGGGGCCTTTAGGTTTCCCCGGACAACTCCCCAGATTACTGACCGAGCCCTCAGCTCTCAGTTGCTGCTTTGCCCTGCTCTCTCCCATGATGAGCATCAAGGATGTGCTAATAAATGCTCAACAACCAGCTCTCTGGGGGGAAGTGTACCTGTGACATACTTTGAAGTTTGAACCACAATTATAAACATTTTCTGCATCCTTTTCATAGATCTGGACAATCAAGAAAACGAGTGAAGTCCTGAGTTGTAGCATTTGCTCATTTCTGGGGTATAAAAGCTCACATTGAAAATATCAACCATCAAGGAGCAGTAAGGTAGTGCAGTGGATAGAGCATCCGCCCTGGAATTGGAGGACCTGAGTTCAAATGCAGCCTTAGACAGGCTGTGTGACCCTGGGCAAGTCACTTAAGCCTGATTGCCTCCGAAAGAGAAAAAAAGAAAAAATATATGTAACAATCAGCTCTCCTGACTCGCCACTAAGGTGCCCTACCTCTACCTCACCTCCACCTTTGAGCCTCCCTGACTGCCTTCTACTGAGTGCTTTGTCCAGTCTCCCTCTCCACTACCTCCATGCAATGACCTTCTGTCTCTCTGGGCATATCTTGTACATGCCCAGTTATTTACATATTGTCTCCGCATTAGAATGTAAACTTCTGGAGGGCAGGAATGATTCTTGCTTTTCTTTACATCCTAACACCCCAGCCCCCCCACACACACACACACGTACACACAAGCTTAGCCTGGAACATAAGAAGCCTTCAGTCGATGCTTTTGACCAAGTGACCAATGACCAGCTGGCGTAGGAACGGACAGGGTGGGCAGCCAGAAGGAAGAGCTCCCTTCCACGAGGCTGCCCCCAGCCTGAAGAGCAGCTCAGCGCTATCTCCTAGGATGCCCGACATATGACCTCACTTAAAACAACCAGAGGAATGTCCAGCCAGGAGGAGTCTGGGGCGGAAAGACTTGGTCGCAGGAATGTGGGAACTCCTACTGGGCTGGGTGGGACTGAGAGAGAAGCGAGCTAATAATAATGTAACACACAACCCCCCCCTGCATAGGAAGCACTTTCCTCCGGAGGGACGGGACCAAAGGAGCAGCTGAAGGCCCTGCTCCCCCTGGGAACCAAACTCAGATCAAACAGTTCCTCTCCTCCACCCATTGCCTGTGCGCCCAGATAGTGCCTCCAGATGTCCAGGACCAGTCCTGCACATGGCAACCTGATAAGGAGAGCGTTTCCCAGAAACACCCGCTAAAGGCTTTCATTGTTCAGCTCAGGCTGGACCGGCTGGAGCATGCTGGCCAAGCCTTTGGACAATCTCATCAGACCATTGGTTAGAATGCATATATTGTTGTAGTTCAGTCATTTTTCAATCCTGTCTTCCTGACCCCTTTTGGAGTTTTCTCGGCAAAGACACTGAAGTGTCTTCAGCTGATTTTACAGATGAGGAAACTGAGGCAAACAAGGATTAAATTACTTGGCCAGGGTCACACAGCTAGTAAGTATCTGAGGCTGAATTTGAACTCAGGTCTTCCTGACTCCAGGCCTGGCACTCCATACTGTGCCAGCTAGCAGCCCCTTAGAATGCACATTACACACGCACCCACCCACCCACCCACCCACACACACATACCTGGCTCCTGGATTCAGTTGTTTAAATTATCCAGTTCAACCAGCACAAATTTAGTGAGAGCCCAACCCTGTGCTAGGCACTGTGGGAGAGCTAAGGGAAAGAAGAAAGGGGATCTGCCCTCAGGAAATCTGTCATCTTACTTTCTCTGCATGTGGAGTTGGGGGACCGGGGCTCAGATTCTAGCTCTGCTACTTGTCCCCTGTGTGATCTGGAACAAGTTGCTTCACCTCTATGGGCCTCAGTTTACCCATCTGTAAAAATGAGGAGGGACTGGATTAGATGACATCTGAAGCCCCTTTTAGCCCTGCTACAAGATGAACAGAAGGCTCTGCTACTCGCTTGATGTGGCCAGAGGGTGTCTCTGGTCCCTTCCAGCTCTCGCTAGGTGCCAGAGCTGAACTGAGTGGTTCCGAGAAGAAAGTGTGGAGTTCTGAGAAGGGATACCATGGTAGAGCAGTGCAATCAGGGTAGGCTTCCTGGAGAAAGCGGGTCTTAAAGGAAGAGTAGGATTTGGATAGGGGGAAGGGAGGAGGCTGGTATGGCCTCATTTAGACTCACACACACACTTACACACATGCACATTCATTCCTACTTGGCTCATGGGACAACTGTTGCTTCATGCCCCATGGCCCTAGTTTCTCAAGGAGAGCTGGCCAGACATAGCTTTCCACTGCTGGTGTTCATGGTTCCCTTGACCCAAAAGCACGCTAGCTTCCTATGAACAGCCTCTCAGTTACTGGTCTTCCGGACTCAGGTCCTGGACTCTCAGGGGACAGAGGAAAACTTCCCCCAGAAGTCTTGGAGGCCCAAACAGGCCTGCTTCCATCCTGAGCATAGAGAAGGGAGCAGGAAAGTGGGTGAGCAGCAAAGCAGGGCTGGTGCTGTGGACAAGCTGGGAAGGTGGCTACCTTCATGGTGGAGGAGGACTGGAGAGGCCCCTGCCTTAACTGACATCATTAGAGATTCATTTCTTTGGCTACTGAAGGACTCTCAGACTTCCAGAGTGCCCTGGGAGAGACTGCACCCCAAGCCTTATTGATCAGTACTTTGGGGGGGGAATCTGACTGGCAGCTTCATCAGGCAGAGAGCGGGAGGGCAGAGTCAGAAAGAGAGACATCACCCAAGACTTCACTTTCTTCACAATATTAACCTGATGTTCTTGGTTCCCTGAGATCAAAAAGGCGTGGGTTACACGACAAAGTTGGCTGAACTTGGAGTCCTGAGATCCGAGTTCAAATCTCAACTCTACACCATCCTTGCTGTGTGACAGAGGATAAGCCATTACCTTTCTCTGGGCCCCTGCTTCCTCTTGTATGAAATGAGAACAATAATTAGTCCCTGTTAGAGCAGAATGAAAGCAGAATGGTGTGCTTGGGAGGTAGTGAGCTCCCTGTCCCTGGTGGCCTCCAAGAGCAGAGGAGCCTCTGAGCCTCTCTCAGCACTGGAATTCTGGGGTTCCATAATCCTTGCCCCGTAAACGCCCAGTACTGGGGTGAAGAAATGTTATCTAACACCACTATTTATACAGTTGTGAAGCCCTGACATTGTTGTAGGCATGATTCCCTTTTCATCCACGGGGCAGCAGGAGCCCCCCTCATTTCCTCACCCACCCATCCCCTCAACACAGAGGGAGCTACTCTTCCAGGAGCTCCACCCTTGTGGAAAGGGGCCTGGCACGTGCTGTCCAGCCTGGGGAGAACAGTGACTCACTCACACCCAGGGCTGGTGCCCAGCATGGCTGTCTGAGCCAGTCTCCTGGAAGCCAGACGATGGGGCCCAGCCTTCCTGCCTGTGCAGGGGATCTGCCTCCCTCTGGGAGCTAAGCGTGGCCCCTGCCTCCCTGCATGACTACAAGGAAGGGGCCCCAGGTGAGGGGACCCGGCCAGAAACAGCCCAAGGAAGACAGCAAGCAGACTTAGCTAAGGCAGCCTGCTGAGGAGGCTAGAGCGCCCTATGACCTTGGACACTTACTCCCTATGTAGCTCTGGGCAAGTTCCTTCCCCTCTCTCAGCCTGTTTCCTCATCTGAAAAGTGGGGATTCCAACAGCCTGAAGGTCGTCTGGTCAGTTCTAATCATTTAGGAGCTGACCACAGTCTCAGCTGGGTCTTTGCATTAGGATTGGGGAGGGGGGGGACAAAAGCGCCCCCTCCTCACATGCCTATCCAGCCCTAGGACCCTTTCCTGGGACAGGCAGGTCCCCCTCTCTAGCCAGCCTGTGACCTGGCACATAATGGGACTGGGGCTGAACATGTCACCTTAGTCCTCCAGGGCTGTCGGACCGCAATCGCTGTCAAAGCCCTGTGAGTCACAGGCAACAGCCAGGACTTGAACCTGAAACCTCGGCCAGGACGCTCCCCACACTGCCGTTCCCTCCCTCCTCGGAAGCTCGGGGGGTCACCAGGGCCAGCTGACAACAGGGGCCCCTGGCCAGTGGGATTCGGGCTAGGGCAAGGGCCTGCGTGCGCAGCTGGAGAGCGCACAGGTCCCAGACGCCTCTGCCTCTCCCCCGCCCGGTCCCTTTACGTGAGCTGCCTTTGAACTCGGCGCCCTGGGGCAGAGATTCGAAGGCAGCCCCGCCGGCACCAGGGAGCCGCAGGTAGCGCGGCCCTTAGGGACCTCGGGTCCAGAGCGGGGGCTCCCAATCCCCCCTAGCTCCCTCGGAAGGACATCGTCCAGAAGGCAAAGGCCACCCAAGGAGTGCTGGGACGTGTGCTGGGGCGTGTGCGGGAGAGGGGGCGAAGGTCTCCCTACCGTAGCATCCTCTCCCGCATGGTGGCTGATGAGGCGGCTGCCTCCAGGGTGCCGATCAGCCCACCGGGTGATGTCATACACCTTCCGTTCTATCACCAGCCACTTGTCCGTGGGCAGGCAGTGCTTCCGGATCTCTTCCCAGCTGTAGGTGGGCACGGGGGTCTCTCGCGCTCCGCTGCCCTCCCCAGGCTGCCCCGGCTCCCCCATGGCCCCCCTCGTTGCCCCGACGTTAGGCTCCGGGCTGCTGAGCCCCTCCGCGCCTGCCCGCCCCCTTCCCTCAGCCGTTTTCGGACGCCGGGGCTAAAGGGCCCCCAGCAGCGGTCCCCCTCTTCCCAGGCGGCCCTCTCTTCTCTCTGCGCTGGGCTCTCCTCCTCCCGGGAGCCTCTCCTGCCCCAGCCACCTTGCCTGCTCCTTCTCCCTTCCCAGAGGCTCTCTCAGCCTCAAAGAACTTTTCCCCCCGCTTATAAATCCATTGACAGCATTGCTCAGCCTCGCCCCCTCCTTCTCCTCCACATCCTCCTCTCGTCATCCTCTCTGGCCGTTTCACAGCCACCGGGAGTAGAGAGCCTGGGCACCAATCCAAGGCCTGTGTCAACAGGCCTGGGAACCTGCCATTGGCTGGCCCGGGCTCCAGGAAGGGTTGCCCCTGAATCAGGGAGCCAGTCACCGGCCCCTCCAACACCATCCCCTTCTCCCCAGGCTGCCCCACCCTAGGGCTGCCTGGAAAGGCGAAGCACTTTAAAATACCTAGCATGGGTCTGGGGCAGCATTTGAACTCAGACCTTCCTGTTCCCAAGGCACTGTGCCACCTAGGTAGCAGAAGCAGGGTAGGGAGAGAACGTCAGTTTGGGAATCAAGAAGACTTGCTGCGGAGGGACCCTGGAAAACTTGCTCAACCTCAGTTTCCTCATCTGTAAAACAGGGATAAAAATAGCACCTACCACCCAAGGTTGGAACAAATGAGATAATAGTGTTTGTAGAGTGTTTACAAAACTCAAAGAATTATTCAAGTGATAATAATTCTTATTGCTCATTAAAACAAGCACCTTTCGATTACTTAGCCTAGAACCACATCACCTCCATGCCTCTGCAGGGGTAGGGAGGAGAAAGGATGCATCCTTCCTTGCAAAAGCCCTATTTACAAAGCACTTTCTGACGTTTTTTTTGATGTGTATATGTGTGTGTGTACATACATATATACACATATGTGATGCAGTTGGGGTTAAGCAACTTGCCCAGGGTCACACACCTAGTAAATATTATGTGTCTGAGGCTGGATTTGAACTCAGGTCGTACTGACTCCCAGGGTCCGTGCTCTATCTACTGCACCACCTAGCTGCCCCCACAAAGCACTTTCTGTACAGCCCCGTAGAGTACAGGCATTCATAGACCCATTTTACTGCTGACGAAACTGAGGCTCAAAGAGCACCAGAGATCTAGAGTTGGAAAGGACTTTCCAGAGGCCAGCAAGGCCTGGAAATCAGACGTTCAGAGTCGGGCAGGTAGCCCGACTCTCTCATTTTACAGATGGGGAAACGGAGTCCCAGAGAAGGGAGGCAACCGGGCACAAATCAAAGCAGTTGTAAATGGGAGAAGAACGCTGGTTCTCTGGCTGCCGACAGAGGAGATTAAGAACCCAGAATCGGGATTTAGAGCTGAGAGGGCACTTTAGGAGTCAGCCAGCCCGGCCCTCTTTTTACAGATGAAGTTCTGAGAAGGGCGGGGTCTCACGGGGAGGGAGCAGCAGAGCGGGAACCTCAAACCCAAACGCTCTTTCCCCTCGCGATGCAGCGCTCTCTTACTGGGGCATCTCCATCTCGTGACTCCTCCAGGGTCACACGCAGCAGCAAGCCTCAGCGCTGGGATGTAGACCCCGCAGGCTGTTGCCTGATTCCAAGTCTGAGCTATCCCGGTGGGAAGAAGGCCCAGCTTGGAAGGTGTCTGTAGGGGAGACTGCTGGGATCAGAAGGGGGGTTGGGATTGGAGGGGACCATCGAGGCCTAGCCAGTGGTGGCTGCCCTCACCCCCCCCCCTCCCCAGCCAGGCCCCGGATCTGGATCCCAGCCCTGCCTTCTCCTGACGAACCTAGGTCTGGCTCTGGGTCATTTATGACCCGATGGGTTAGTCCTGAGTCCTCAGCCAGCCCTTCTTTCTGGCCTCCCAGGGCCCAGGCCTCAGGTCCCTCCCCTTCCCAGACAGAGTGGCTGCAGCCAATGCCTCCATTACGGCTGGGGAAGTGGCGCCAGGTCCCCGAGATGGGGGGAGGGGCAGGGCAGGACCGTGTATGGCCCGGAGCCAGGATCTGCCCCCGGGGCAGGCACCATCCAAGCGAGGGGCCGCTGCTGATCTCTACCATGTCACATTTGCTGGAGATGTTACAGGAAAACCAGGAGGCAGAGGGAGACATCGGCCCTCAACCTCTTATCTCTGGGGTAGCAGGCAGACCAGGAGTCCTGCTGGTCCCGACTGATGTGCTGCTTCAGTCTGGCTGGCACCCCAAGGGCCACCAATAAACAGCGTTTTTCTGATGCCTCCAAGTTTTCAAAGCCCTTCCCCTATGCCTTCTCATTCGGCTTTCACAGCAACCCTATGCGGTAGGTGCCATCTTATCACCATTTCACAGACAACGAAGCAGTTAAGTGACTTTCTCAGGATCCCACAGCTCGTAAGGGTCTAGGGCAGGATTAGAATTCAGACCTTCAGACTCCATGTCAAGGTCTCCACTGGGCCACCTGAGGACAAGCACAGAAAGATGTGCAGAGAATAAGAAGTGGAGAGAAACTTAGACACTCCCTACCCCAGAAACAACGCCTCCCTCTCAGGGTCGTTGTTAAAGGTCCCTCGCTCAGGTGTGGTTGTTAAAGGACGGTGTTGTTCAGTCCTTTCAATCGTATCTGACTCTTTGTGATCCCATTTGGTGTTTTCTTGGCAAAAATACTGGAGTAGTTTTCCATACCCTTTTCCAGCTCATTTTACAGATGAGGAAACTGAGCCAAAGTAAGTGACTTGCCCAGGATCACACAGCTAGTAAGTGTCTAAGTCCAGATTTGAACTGAGACGTGCCTAACTTCAGGCAGGGCGCTCTATCTGCTTTGCCACCCAGTTGCCCTGAGTTCAAATTCTGCCTCTGGTGATTAATACTTATGTGACCTTGGACAAATACCTTTCCCTCTCTCAGCCTCAGTTTCTTCATCTGTAAAATGAGTCCCTGAGCTAGTGATTACAAAGCACGTTCAGGTTTTCAAGGGCTTACGTTATCTCACCTGATGAGACAGAAGGACAGAGAGATGGAACCAGAGACAAGAAGGAGGAGGGAGCATTGATCCCAGAACATGGAGCCCCCATCAGGGACCAAGGCCAGGCCATGGGCTATGACATTCCAGGATTCTTAGGAGAATCCCCATCCTACAAAGGAAGTCCCTCTGGGTCTTTCCCAGGAAGGCTACCCAAGTCTCCTGGCTTCCAGGAATGGTCCTGGCCCAGGTATGTCCACTGAGTCTCAGGAAAGGGACCGTGGTTCTTTGGAAGAGGGAGGCAGAAAACCAGCTGCCCCTTGGAGGCTTGTGAATGGAGGAAGGGAGCCAGCCTCCCTGAGGCCCCTTTTGCGGAGGGCTGGGCTGGAGACTGGGGGGACCTCACCCGTGAGCTCCCTCATGCCCCCCAGCAGGTCAACTGAGGTTTCAGCATGGGCAGGAAGTGGTAAGACAGATGGGCTTGGAGTCAGAGGAGCTTACGCTCAAAGGAGCATTGATTTAGAGCTGGAAGGGAAACCCCCAACCCCTGACTTTACAAAGAAGGGACCTGAGGCCCAGAGGAGAGACCTGCTCATGGTCACAGTGTCTGAGGTGGCATTGCCTCCATGTCCAGTGACCCATCCATCATAGAATACCACCCCTGGATCTAGGTTCAAGTCTCAGCTCCACCAATTTACTCAGCCTTGTGACTGTGAGCAAGTCATTTCCCATGGCCTGAATTTCCTCATCTAAAATGAGGCTAAAAATGTTTTCCCTCCTTCCCTTTGGGATTATTTGGAGAAGCTAAGGATAAACAATTAAGTTCACACGCCTTGTAATCACATAATGCTCCACAGACATGAGCCATGAGGAGCCACAGCCATTAGGGCTGTGGACTGAGAGTTGGAAGCCCCTCCCCCCAGGACGTCTGCTCTGACCCCTTCGTTTTCTTTCTTTTTTTTTTTTCTTTGTGTTGGGGCAATTGGGGTTAAGTGACTTGCCCAGGGTCACACAACTAGTGTCAAGTGTCTGAGGCCACATTTGAACTCAGGTCCTCCTGACTACAGGGCCGGTGCTCTACCTACTATCTAGCCATCTAGCTGCCCCCCCTAGTTTTCTAGGGGAGGAAACTGAGCCCAAGACAGCTGAACTGGTAGACTTTCTATGTAAGGAGTATGTGGAAGAGTTGGGATTTGAACCCAGGGCCTGTGATGACAAACCCAGCCAGTCCTCTTTGCACTGCACCAGTATTAACCCCTAGAGGCTGAAGCAGGCAGTGCAGTAGAGTCAGAAAGATCTGAGTTCCAATTCCAACTTGGATGCTTGCTAGCTTTGTGACCCTGGGTGAGTCATTTCAGTTTCTTCATCGATAAAACAAGGGAGTTGGACCTAATGGTGTCTACAGTTCCATCCAGTTCTAGATCAGCAATCCTATGAATGCTGTGATTCATAATATTTTCAAGGATCAATAATTACATTAATTAAGGAAGGGGAATAGTCCTTCCACTGGTGCAGATAGCAGCCCCTCGCTATATAGTCGATTGTCTTTAAAGGTTATAGGGGTCTGGACTCAGAGCCTTTCCTGCTTGGTAGGACCTGTTGAGACCCGCACCACCACCTACCTACACATACATACAGCCTTCTGGGATAGGGGTCACCTCCCCCACAGGATGAGGCCATAGGGAAAGCCTTGGGGGTGGAGTGGGAGAATATTATGGTTGTTGTTGTTTATGCTAATAATAACAGGAAAGATGGACGGTAGCCAGACAGCTGCTGTGAGCTCCCATGCTGACTCTGACACAGATGAGGGTGTGAAGAGAAAGAGGCTCTTACCTTGGGGTCCACAGATCCCCCGGCACATCTGGGAGCTTGGATGGAAAAGCAAAATTACTTTTATTCTCATAAACCTCTAACTGAAATGGAGCATTTCCTTCAATTAGGAAAAAAAAAAGCCCCGATAAGGGATATGTGGGG